AGCATGCCTGGTCCAAGACCCACTGTTTTGCAGATGCTCAGTGTGTGTTATGCATAGTACCAGGGGCTCCCTACTGCTGAATATTTGTCCCAGGGAATGCCCCCAGTGGGATAAGACCCACTGCTAGAAGCATTGTACAAAGAGAGAGCTGTAGCGTGTGCACTTTATCGATGAGCGAGGAATGATAGAAGGCAGAAAGGAGACGCAGTAGTCTTAGGAGATTAGGAGCTAGTAATGGGGGGAAAAAAATAAAAAATCTTTCATCTCACCATTTCCAAATGGCCACTTCGATACTACCGGTGAGGTGATAGTTATCATTTGGAAGATGTTCTGTCACCCAGCTCCTCTCCTGCCAGCTAAAATCAGCCTTGTTCCACACCCCACATGTTGCTGAACTGCACAGCAGTGAAAAGTAGTGATGCAAAGCAGTTCCTCAGCTGTGATGAGATGCTGTACCTTTGACTAAGCTATCCAGATCTGATGGCATGTGTGAGCCTCTGCATGACTTAGCTGCTTTTGACCTAGTAAATAAGAATCTCCATCAGGCAATTCAAACTCTTCTCACTGGTAACAAGAGCTGAGTGGATTAGCTGTAGGCTGCCCTGCTGCTGAATTTAGCTGGCGATAAATCTAATATTAGTTTTAAAAAAAGCAAACCCCAAAAACCACAAAGAGTTGGTGGGGTTTTATTCATGTGCTGGAGAAAAAGGGCAGTGGAAGAGGTGTCAAGACTCTTTAGTGTATTTTTGTTTACACAGACGATACTACTGCTGTGATTTGACCTTGGTCTCCTGCCTTTTCCAGGGTAATTCCCAGGTTTTATAGCGCTGTAAGTTAGCTGATAGGGAGCTTCAGGAGACCCAGGAGATTTAATGTTTTTAAGGTTGGGATTTGAAAAGAGCTCAGAGGTGTGTATTTCATTTGCTTAAATTGTGGCAGAAAGTGCTCTGCCTTGCTTCAGGCTGAGCATGTCTCCTGGAATAAGTGTCCTGAGTGGGCTAAACTTTCCTTTTCCTCTGTTTTCTATTTAGGGTTTGAACATGGGCACACAGCCACATGCTTTGACCAAGGCAGACATCCCTGCCCATGTTCTTTACACCGTAGGAACATGTGTGCTCATTATTGGTTCCATTGGCATCATTGGAAATCTCCTAGTTCTCTACGCATTTTACAGGTACAAAAACTCCTTTTATGATTAATCTGACTGGCCTTGAAGTTCACATATGCCTGTGTGAAGATGTTCTGCATTGTCTCCCTCTTGGATTAAACCTCCAAGTAAATGCTGATGGCAATAAAAGTCAGGGAAAAGTACCAACCTCCCCTCCACCCATGCATATCACTGATAACCTCGCTGTAAATTCCTCTTGTTTTAAGGAATTAAAGAAAATGAGAAAGCGAATACCTTATTCTAAAAGCAATTTCAATTGCAAGTTTAAAGAAAAGTTTAATACTTTTAACGAAAGAAAACGCTGTCTCCCTGCTACAGACTTCTTCACTCATCCTGTAGAATTTGCAGAAATACTCCACAAAACCTGACACTCTTCCCAGCAGCCCAGATGTTCTGGAAGTCCCAAGAAGGCCACGTGCTACATGAAATAGTCTCATGTCGTTGGTGTGTTCCCCACTTCAGGCAGATGATAGGATTTCTGTCAGTTTGTATGCTCACTTGGCTTCTGACAGTGTAGGACACAGGCAAAGCTACCACAGCTACAGTATACAAAAATGTCTCGTCAAAAATAAATAGCCACCTTCTGTCCCACAATGTGACGCTGGGTATCAAAATCCTCACTTACTGCTTGCTGTCATCATGTGTGTTTATGCAGAGGGGGTTTACAATGCTAGAAACACCAGCATGGGTATGAACCAAGCATTAGTATTTTATTCTTAAAAATTAGTTTAGTTATTTTGAGTAAGTGGCTTCTAATAAGAGATAAAGGAGAAATTGAATTTGCTGCAACTGTGGATACCTTCATGAGCAGTGTAAGCTCTCTACTTTTCTTGACATTTGTTTGATTTAGCCTGTGTTTAGCGTTAATTTGTCAAAGCAGGAAAATCACCACAGGCAGACGAGCCACCTGCAAAGTTGCGGACTCTTCACCCTCTCTCACTGAGTTCTTGCAGGCAGTTTTGAGACCCAAGATTTTGTCAGAGTTGCAGGAACATTGAGATGGCTTTCTCAATTTCTTTTTCAGTATTTCTTTACCAGCATAAGACAAGAAATTCACGTTAGCTGCAAATATTTCAGTGCACATCAGAAAGGTCTCAGTTGTTCAGCTATCTACACTAAGGGAGGTGTTTGCGGGTAAAATTATTTCAAACTATTGAGAATTGCTGCATGCAAGCTGCAAGAACAAAGCTATTTATAAAATTCTGCATCCATCCAAGAGTGTGCCAAGTCACCTCCTTTTGTATTATATGCACCTGACACCGTGAGAAGTCCTGAGTTCCAAACTCTCGGTACGAAAACGGTTTACTTTGCCATGTAACCAATACAGTGGTTCACACTGAGGGACTTCTAGCTCTGCGTTATACCTTCTCAGTATATCCCTCAAAAGTGACAGTTTCAAGGCAGATATGTGTGAGCTGAACTCACAAATTAATTTAACTTTCCTAGAGGAATATCATATTTGATCAGAGCACCAAGGGCGTATTCAACCTAATAACCCCACGTAGAAGTGAGAGGTTCTTTATCATGTTACCAGCATCTTTATTCCTCTTAGCCAGCACCAAGGGTAATCTTGAACACCAGCTGAAAGTTTCTGAGTAGGTTCTACCTTGAAGTGAGACTATGTGAGGTGGTGAGATATAGGGGAAAAAAGCTGCAAGCGATGTTTTCTTTGGACAAACTTTGCTTGCAGACTGGCTGTTGCTTTCATGATCCTTGTAGTGGCATTTCATGTTGCCTGTTCATCTGCAGCTGAGACTTTTAATTCTCTCTTACTAGATGTATGCAAACAAAAGTATTTTTTCAAATCTCCACACATGTTCTGCTTATGCTGTAGCACTTTACAAAGGGTCATTTAGTTGGTAGCAATGTGGCGACTCTTCAGGTCAGCAGCTTTTAAAAATTCACCAAAAGGAGGTCCTTCAGTGCTAACTGGCTTCAGATCCTGGTCTTGTGCAGTGCAGGACATACTCAGTGCTACTGCATTTATAGGGGACTGTTCTTCCCCTGAACAGATCCATATTTTTCAAGACAGCTGGAATTCTCCCCAATTTGAAGAGGAAACAATCAATTTTAACCCATCCTGCTATTGTCAGTCTTCATTTCAAAATTACTCTATCTGTAACTGCAGTAATTGACTGATAGCGAGTGATTGACTCCAAGTAACCACCTATTCCAACCTGGACGGGAATTGTTTATGCCGGTAAGCAAAGTTATAAAGTTAACTGTTTGCTTTGTCTATTTAGAATCATGTATTTCTCATGTTTTTAAGCAACAAGAAGCTGAGGACGTCCCAAAATTACTTTATCATGAATTTGGCTGTGAGCGACTTCCTGATGTCAGCTACTCAGGCACCCATGTGCTTCGTCAACAGCTTGCACAGAGAGTGGATACTTGGAGATATAGGTACTTTCCAACATTAATTCATACCTCACTAGCTCTACGCTGTCTGTAGCCGGTTTTAGCCATAACAATCTTGGCTTGTGCCGTGGAAACTACAGCACAAGACTCTTGGGTGACAGCCTTGTTTCTTGACATCATCAGTCAGCGTGGTGGCACAGGTTTTGTGTCAGGGGTTTGATTCATTTGTCTTATTTGGGAAAGGGGTCAACATCAACATGTAGTCATGCTACCCTTTAGCTTGCAAGGGCAAATGCTATAGCTGAAGATGTGTGGAAAAAATTATTAAGTTGTAAATAATCTTTCCGGTACTAATTCCAGAGTGAGTTAATATTTTTATTTAGAAATGCACATTGATATCCATTAATATGCTTCTAGCAACCTCACATTTAGTTAAGAGATTTAAACAAGAATGGTCTGTGGAGGACTCTGCAAATTTAAGCTTGTTTTTTGTCCAACTGCAAGAAAGAAAATTTGATGCACGCTCAGTTGATGTTTGATACTGCTCATCACATCATTGGATGAAAATTTGCACCAATTAATGGTTGTGTATTGGTGGAGCGAGCCCAGAGACCATGTATCAGCAGCACAGAAGAGGCGGCTCTTTAGTTTCAGGATGTCTTTAGTCATCCCCTTAGATAAAACCTGTGTCAACTATGACGCTGGCATAAATGAAGCAATTGATTTGGGTTGAGTGGGATTTGGTCCTTAATTGCAGGTTACTTACAAAGACTTGAGAAGAAGTATGCTTTAAGGCTTAATCTGGTACTTTGACTCCTGTCTGTTCCCAGTGGGCTGTTGTCTATTAACACACAGGGTGATGCAAAATCTCAAAAAAATGATTAATCATTTCACATAGGTTTCTGAATCATATTAGGCAGAGCGTAACTCTACAAGTTTTCATCTGCTAGTGCAATGCTTGAATGCAGAGGGGAAAACAAAACCTGTTTCATGTAAAATCTGTCTGGTTTTTTTCTAAAGTGCTGCTATTATATATGGAAGCTGGGGCTATGTTTTACAGCTGTTCTTTTAGCCATCACATTTAAACCACTCCTATATTTTTAAGCCATATAAACCAAAGTCATTTTTTTGAAACACTCATCTGTCATTAGCAGACAGATGTCTGCTGCAGCCTGTTAAGATCAATATATTGGGCAACAGTCCAGGAAAATGCAACTTTAATTAGATTGGATTTTCTTTGAGGCAGTTTTCCATTGAAGAAAAGTTCCCAGTTGCAGGCTCCAGTGGAGAGCAGGGCTTGTAAATACATATGTTTATATTTTATTAATATTTGTGCTTTTTCTAATAAACATCTAATAACTATGACATTCTGAGGCTAAAAAATTCTTCTAATAGGAAAGAAGTCCTGAGCCAGGAGAAGAGTGGGAGGCTTATCATGTCTAGCTCTGAGGGAAAATGTGCATCTGTTTTAAGAAAATCCCTGACATTGCCATTTTCTGCTTCAGGCTGTGACTTGTACGCTTTCTGTGGGGCACTCTTTGGAATAACCTCCATGATGACTTTATTAGCCATTTCTGTCGACCGCTACCTTGTGATCACTAAGCCCCTGCAATCCATACAGTGGACTTCGAAGAAACGCACCATGCAGATCATCGCTGGCGTCTGGCTGTACTCCCTGGGATGGAGCGTGGCTCCGCTTTTTGGATGGAGTATGTTGCCTGCCCTCTATCTCTTCTAGTGTCCCTGATGTGTTCTGTTTTAGCGGTGCTCAGGGCATTAAAAAAAAATGATCTTTTTGATAAGTTCTGAGGTGGATTCCTAGCCACCACCTGATGGTTTCTTGTACCATATATCTGCACTCACTGCAGTGCAGATATCCCTGCTACCACCAGGTTGTATTCAAGAAGAACAAATTGTGGATGGAATATTAGATGTATCTGAGAGTCTGGCAATCAGGACCTCCTCTCCATGTGGGCACTCATGCTCTCAGACCACACGTATGATACAGCCAGCATAGCTCTTGAAGACTACATATACAGTATGGGGTTTATTTTAAGTGCTCAGTTGTTAGATCAGCAAATGGGTAAGCTTTGTCTCTGTGTGTGTGTGTGTGTGTGTGAATAATGTATTCCATGTATTTCATAGGTTCCTATGTGCCTGAGGGATTGATGATATCCTGTACCTGGGACTATGTCACCTACTCCCCCGCAAATAGGAGTTACACAATGATTTTATGTTGCTGCGTGTTTTTTATTCCCCTGATAATAATATTCCATTGCTATTTATTTATGTTCCTGGCCATAAGACGGACTGGCAGGTAAGCAATGTAGCTAAAATGAATGCATCTTCCCTTTTATTGTAACAGAAGATTTTCTCAACTTGTTTAGCTGCAGAAAAATCTGGATCAAAAATTCGTCTGAATTGAAATTAGAAGTGGCAGATCATTAACAGCTCTAAGTGGAGGAATATTTTTGCGAATATAAAATGGATGTATATATGTATTCTGTTGAAATCTCTGGTGGCTCTAATCTTATCCTAGAGTGTGGTAATTAATAATACATAAGATAAAGTTATAGTCTGGATTATATGTATTTCAAATTTGCAATACAAGGAACACAGTCCTTGTGCATTCCAGCACAGTTTTCATCCCCAAGGGATGATAAACAGCATGTAGCAATGGGGGGGAATCATCTACCTTTGAGCTGCTTTATAAACCTAACAGTCCTCATATTTTTTGGCAGTTTTATTTAAGGTAGGCATCCCAGAAAACCTTTGGTTCACTCAAGCTTTACAGCTGTGCACACAGTATCTGACTGTGCTTTTTGGGGCACTTTTTTTTCTTAAATTCTTTATCAATATTTGAAATAAAAATAATAGTACAGTGCTACATCTGTAAGGTAGTTTCATTCTGTCAGTTATTTTTCTCCTAATGAGAACATGACTTATATTTGGTCTGATCCAGTATCAGCTGGAGCTGTGAGTCCTTCCCACCACTTAGAGTGTCATCAGCTCCAATGGCTTTTCCCTATGCCTATCTGCAGGCATTTGTTGAAATCATTTGTCTTCATAAGGCAGAATTCCACTTTTAAAAGCATGTTTATGGCTAAATTGAAGTTCTTCTGAACTCTATATTAAGCCTTGGTCTTGGTTTTTACTCTGCTTTGTGTATGTGTATTTTGTACCAAGCAAAGGAGCAAAGAATGCATCCCTAAAACTATGGTGTCTTCTACACCCATAAAGCACACATTTTTCTGTGTTTCAAGATCTTTCTGTGTCTTTTGCTTACTAACACAGTAAACTCACTTTACAAGTATGTTCACAGCGCACCAGGAAGCAGTTTGTTACCCTGCTGGCTGGTAATTACAGTCTTCAGCCTGAAACATATAATTTAACAACACTGTAAAAATTGTTATTTCTTTGCTAAAGTATTTAAAATGCTAACCCTTAAAAATCCATTTTTTTAAAAAATAAAGCATGTAGTGTTTGCTTGATGTGAGAAGAGAATTTGATGGGACTTTTTTCTCAAAAAATATCAGGAGTGCCTGTTGTATCCCCCCCCCCCCACAAAAAACCACTATTCTCCAGAGAATAAAGCTTCAGGGAGGTAAAAGTGTCCCTGTAAGCTCAGGTTCCTCTGAGTAGTCAGGGTGTTGTAGCACATGACACCTCATGAGCTGGAATTGCTGCAAGCTGTTCCTCCCTTGAAAAGGAAGGGCCATAAGATTTGGTTTTTGCATCCATGTCTTTACTTGTTCCACCTCTGAGAGTAACGAAGGGCAAGGGGTACCACCCTTTACCGTCCCAGCCTGAATCCCTCCTTGTGTTAGGATAAGGACATGGCAGTCCCATCGTGTAGCCCCAGGGGTTCTTCTGGCTCAGTCCCACAGACAAATAAAAAGCCTGGAACCATTTTACTACATTAATTACCTTTGAGAGTTTTTAAATATCAGAGTACAAAAGAAGAGTTAGAGCAGAGGAAGTTGAAATCTGCTTCATTTTGCTTATTTCTGAGAACTTATTAGAGATGTTGCACCTGGATATTTTCACCCTCCTGCTGACATGTCTGTATTTTTCCTCCCTCACAGAGATGTTCAAAGGCTGGGGTCCTGCAGCCGGAAAGCCTACCTCTCTCAGTCTATGAAAAATGAATGGAAATTGGCAAAAATTGCTTTTGTGGTCATCATTGTATTTGTCTTGTCCTGGTCTCCATATGCCTGTGTCACCTTGATTGCCTGGGCAGGGTAAGTGGAAACATAATCCAGAGAGTATGGGCTATTCTGAAACAAATATGATTAGTACTGTCACCCACAAGAAACAGATATTCCTTCTGAAAGGGTTTTAAATAATTACTGCTTTAGAGGTGATATTGCATTCTTCACTACGTCCCTGTGAATAAAGCCAGAAAAGTGATTATTACTCTATGTATTTTAAAACTATTTTGAGTTTTATCTGCATTTTTGGTACACATCCCCCATGATACTTTCTTTGTATGAATTGGAGGAGTTACCTCATTTCTCTCTTAACACCTCTTCTCTCAAGAAGCTTCCTCCATATACTGCTGCCTCTAACAGAGGGCAGAAAAGAGGTTATATTCCTGGATATTCACCCCTGAGCTTCTGTCTTCCTCCAGCTGCTCTCTGCTCCAAAGGGACCTGTTATCTTGTCAGTGCATGTTCTTGATCTCAAGGCCATGTTGGATGGGGCTTTGAGCAACCTCATCTAGTGGAAAGTGTCCCTGCCTATAGCATAAAGGTCGGAATTAGATGATCTTTAAAGGTCCAGTCCAAACCAAGCCACTCTGTGACTCTATGATATTAATTGTGATTAGCCAGCACTGATGTAGATCACACATGACTGATTGTGAGAGCTTAAAGTTGAGAGGAGAAAGTTGGTTTCAAGCTACTTCTAGTCCTCTCTTCCTTCCACAGTGTTTGCAACTGAGTCACTGACACTGATTACTGTGCAGTGTGGCTGTTGCTGTTGAAAGTTTTAGGTTTGAGTCTGTTTGTTGGGTTTTTTTAAATCACCATTTGCTTTTCCCAGATGTTCATGATGCAGGTTGTTTTGGTGGGGTTTTTGTGTTTTCTTTTTCACCTAGTGTAGAAATAGAGAAGTTGATTCTTTGTGTACCTGGTCATCCCCAAATAGATAACTAGTTACTTGCCTGTCTTTCCTCTTCTCCAAACAAATGGAACTAAGTATGCGCTGTCAAATGCAAGCCTTTCGTCTGAGCAAAGAATGCATTTAAGTGAATTAACATTTATGGGATGTTCCTTATAAAGATGCCACAGCACAAAAAACAGTCAAAAAGAGTTATATGATTTAGTAATTTAGTATTAATCCATGGCATAGCTGTGTGTAATGTTTTTGCTTTGTTTTAGTCGAGGCAACACCTTAACACCATATTCCAAATCTGTGCCAGCAGTTATTGCCAAAGCATCTGCAGTCTACAACCCCATCATATATGCCATAATTCACCCAAGATACAGGTACAGTAAACATATAGGTATGTGTAAAACTATACTTGGAAAAGCGTATCTTACAACGAATGAAATACCCTCATTCCCTCAGCCTCACCCCATGTGACGATGCTCACTTCTGCCTTGATCATGCCCCATCCCATGATGGGATCCAGGTGGTCAGACCCTGCACCATATCCACCTGGTGCAGGGCAGCCCAGACTGCACATGGAGCTCCAGGTGTGGCCTCAGGGGTGGCCAACAGAGGAGAACACTCCCTCCCTTCACCTTTCTTCCCCTTCACAACGCTGCTCTGTCCTGTGGGGCTGCACAAGACCATGACTGACAAAGGAGGAGGAGGTGGTGATGCTCAGGGTCTTCTTCTGCCATATCGGGGACAGCTGCTAAAGAGCACTCTCCAGATAATAGGTCCTAACCAGAGAGGCTCGAAAATCATATCGTCACCTATTTAAGAAGCTATATTAGGCATATGTTCAAGATTTGGTATTCTGAAGTGCTTCAGTTATTTTTATGCCAACTTTGGTACTAATATAAACAAGTCGCTGGTCTCTGGGAGAAGCTCTGTAAAAAGTAAACAGCATTTTCATAGAAGTTCTGTGCGAACTGGGAGCCGTAGGAAGCTGATAATCCAAAGTGAGCTCCCTACAAATGAGAGAGTTTTCCAAATATATTGAAAATATTGCTTTTTAGTTAGCAGGCTGGCTAACTTTGGTCAACAAGTATTTGCCTTCAAAAAATAAAGCAGGCATTTCTGAAACGCTCTACTTTGTGGAAAGAAGTATATTCTGAAGGCTGTTTTCATTTTTGTTTCATTTAGTTTTGGGAAAAAGACTTTTCATTCTCTACCTTTTTCAAAAACACTTTGTCTTAAAGAGTTTTACGCTACACTAATAGAGTTCAATGGACAAAATACACTGTTGATCACTTGTCTGAAACACTTCAGTGTTTTTTTCATATATGAAGTATTTCCAAACCTATGGCTCCACAGGCAAATTATACTATACTTAAATTCTACTTATTAGTACAGATACCAATTACTATGTATTTTAAAACAGAATACTGTGCCAACCCAGCACAATTTCACTAGCCAATATTCAAACACTATTCAGTCTCAATAAGCTGTATGATTAGCTAACATTTTTTTTTTTGCTGTTTATTTCCTTCTCTCACAGGCAGTGAATGAATTTCTGAGCTAAAAGGTATGAATCTGGCCTTTTATCCAGGTCTTCTGACTGCAGTAAAGTAAGGAATAGAGAGAATAAATACAATTTCTTTCCACGGAGTGGATTATTAGAAAGGCAACAATGCATTGTAAAAAAAAAATTTCCATACTGTCACTCTGATGGGAAACTTGCAAGCTTAGGTGAATAGGATGATAATTTAATATACTATGAAAGACACTCCTCCAAAGAATCAGAAACCTTTCTCTTTGCAGAAGGCAGCCCATTATAATCTTTAATAACTTCTCCAGAGCATCCCAGCTGGTCTCCAGAGACCAGCTCAGCCTTCCCCAACATTTAAGGAAAGCACGAAAAGGAGCCACCTTGCATTTGAGAAAGGTCACCTGCTCTTTGAGGTAGCTAGGACCTGGAGACGTGCATAGTATGGACACATCAAAAATGATTGTGTCTTCAGTTGTGTAGTCCTAAAGGGAGTTCCAAAATACTTCTGCAAGTGAATAAGCTGGTACGGTGTTCTGCTGAATGGTTTCAAACAAGCACAAACTTAGCTGCACTTCCCAGACACTATGCAAGCTAGAACTTCTTTTTTGAAGTCAATGCTTCATCTGGAAATAGCCTCCCAGCTTCAGCTGAGGAACCTATTCAAGTACTGGCAAAGCATGCCACTTTAGTTAAAACTTCAAAAATACTTGGGTTCCAAAAATCCACAAAAAAAATAGTTTTCTGGGGAGCTGTTTTTGGAGATTTTTTGTTTGCTTGTTTAGGGAAGGGATACACCTTCATTGTGTTCTCAGCCCTATTTCCAGCGTAAGGTGGGATCCTAAATATTTTTTCACCTTTACGACTCACAGCAGTGTACTCAGAAGAAATTATACCTCACACAGAAGGCATAGTTCAGAGCTTGCAATTTCCTCCCATAGCTGTGTGTAATGTGTTTTTGAAACGCTGTCAGTGAAAAAATACTTTTTTATATAAAAGGATAAATGCTTGCAGCAGAACTGATATTCAGCATATCTCTAGAGTGTTTGCAAGTCTTTCCAAGTGTTTTTACCAAAGAGGGATGCTGCGTCAAAATTTTGGACGAAAACATGTGGGTGCCATAGTGATATGTGCCACTAGATGGCAGGGTTAGTCGTCGGTATGAAGTTTGTCTTACCCGAGAAGCAGAAAAGCTTCTAAGTTTTGCCTGAAAACGAGGATTTGGGAGCTGGACATTAAGTTCACTGTTTTGAATTATCTGATCAATGACTGTGTGGTTCCAAGAACAGTTAAAGTTTCTCAGAAGCTGGTGGAAATACACCCAAAAATTGTGAAAAATTATGCTCTGTTTGAAAAGTCTGCTATCGAAACTACCATTTCGCATCCTCCAAAAACCTCAGGCCATCTTATTTTTTGAAGGTGATAGAGTATTTTAAAATAAGAGAATGCCTAGTGGCAGATGTCCTGCAGAAGTTGACTGAGTTTTGCATGACTGGCTGGCACATCATGAAATTGGTATTTTTTCTAATCCAAAGTTATTGTGTTCAGTGATTCCTTATATTATTTTTGCAAGGTCAAGTGAATATTTTCAAAGCAGATACCATACAGTGAACTGCTTTAATTAGTCTTTTTCCTACCAGCATCGGCTTTTCATTTAAGACTATATTAAGAAAAAGTCTGGAGCCCACAGAGGATTTCAGACATTCTCTTAAAAAGTGTTTTGGTTTATTTTTTTCTTGCTTCCTACTTTATATTTCTAGACACATCAGCAACAGAAGTGTTTATGGAGTTGTTGTGAAGACTTTCCATAGACCTAGGAGTTACCCAGACAGGAAAAGAAGTAATGTTGGGTCCTTTGTGAAGAATCAAACACGCAGTTTTAAAACAGAAAAAGCAGCTACAGTAAACCAATAAGTCAGCTGGTGAAAACATCTTGGCAGGACCAATTTTGCTTGAATAGTGAATAATGAACATGTATGTAAAGTCCAGGGTTCCTGGATAATTTCCTTGAAAGTAATTTACCCAATGATGGATAAATATGCCAGTCTGTTCGGGCCCTAGACTCAAGTGCTTGGTCAGTGGATGAATTGCCATTTTGTATTGGAACTACTGAAGCTAGTTAAATCAAAGTTATTCTCCAAATCTTTCTAGAAATCAGGATCTAAAGCATTCAGATATGGCTCAAACCAGTGATATACCAAAGCAAGGTGCTTTTTGGCACAGAGAGTTGCTGTCACAACGTCTTAACACCCCAACAAATCAAATAAGTTTTTTGGGGGATTTCCTTACCTTAAGTAATGGGAAAAAAAAGTACATTACAATGAAAGCAAATAAAAATGTAATAGTGACCTTTGTGCTAACACTTGGCTTTTAAGAACCAGTCTGAGAGATTAATTGCTATATACAGCTCTGCCCATGCCCTCCCCACCAGTATAAAGGAGAAACACACTTCTCTCCCTGATAGGTATCACTGAAAGTAACACATATGGGTAAGTAAGGAAATGTGTGGAACGTTTTAATTCATTAAATGCTGTTTTGTGAGGGAAGAAAGTTTTCAATCCTTTAACAACCCATATACGAGAGAATGTCACTGGGCTCTTTTAGACTTATTGCAGAAACTGTCTTAGATTTTAGGTTTTGTAATCATTTGTTCATAGCAAACAGGGAAATTCTGCATCTCCCTGTTTCCAGCTTGCTCCCAAGTGAAACACAATTATACAAAAAATTATTTGTTTAAAACAAAAGTTTGCAATTACTATATATATCTATATCTATATCTATATATATTTATATGAATGATTTGGGGTGACTCCTTTATTTCATAAAATTATGAAAATATTATTAAAGCACCTCAGTTTACACCTATTATGTAATTCACATGGATAGTATTAAAATTATCTTCAAAATCAGCCCACAATATATCCCTCAACAGTCTTCCCAATTATTAGTAAAATTAAAACTCTGGTCTCTCCAGAGATCAAAAATGTTCTTATGCTGCCCTTGGAAATTCCCCATCAGACATAGTTTTCCTGAACCTCCAGCGTGAGGAGTTGTCTGCATGAAATCCCTTGTAATAGGATGGTATGTTTTACACCAGCCTGAAATAATTGCATAGTTTGCAGCCCCAGGTAGGCTGTGGCAGACATCAGAAGCTATGTCTATGTGTGAGGGAAGCAGATCAGCTTCTCATTTGGGAAAAAGAGCTAGCAGCTGCTTTTTCAACACCAGCCTGAGGTCTTCAACATAAAAGTGAACCTACGGTGGCTTGGTATTTTCTCGTGTCCTGTAAACTCTTGCTGATTTTCAAAACTTTATTTTCTGCACAACATCAGCTCTTTGTTTTAATCCAGCCTCCTGCACCCCAAACAGCACCCCAAACCCAGACATAATACAGATAAATAACAACATCCGATTCTTCTGGTCCTCTCCTCCTTCATTTTTTTCCACTCGTCCTGTGCCTTTGCACGGGATGAGTGGAGAAGTATGAAGAACTTCATACCAGCTAACCTGAAAGTTTTTCTGGGTTAGCTTCTTAATTACATCAGAAGCAATCATGCTCTTCAAGATGTTTTCAATTCTTACTGCTTATTCATGCAGCTCTTCCATACAAGTGGTTTGACCTGAGACCCAGAAGCCACCTGCTCTTTTCCTTTCAGCCTGCCGAGTAGCTTTCACTAGATACACCATTCTGTTTCCATGTAGTCTTTAAGACCTCCTCAATCAAAACCAGAAACTGCTGAGGTTATGTAAAGACATAGTACTTTCACCAAATGATTTCCAAAGCTGCATGATCAATGTGCCATTCTTTTCTTTTTCTTCTCCCGTTAGAAAAACCATCCATAATGCTGTTCCCTGCTTGAGGTTCCTAATACGAATATCAAAGAACGACCTCCTGAGAGGCTCCATAAATGAGTCATCATTCAGGACCTCTCTCTCCAGCCATCAGTCTCTTGCTGGCAGGTCCAAGAGCACTTGTGTTGCATCAGTTTCCACTGGAGAAGTTGTAAGTCTTTTCTTGTGTCCATGAAGGAAAGTGAGTATGATATTTCTCCAACTCCCAAAATAAGTGACTCTATAAATACGTATTCAAAATGAGAGAATGGAAAAGGATGGTGGAAGCTAGATGTTTTTGGTCATGTGAGGTCATTTCTGCAAAGCCTTTGCTGGAGTTCATCAGTGATGATTTCTGGCCAGAGAAAGCATCTAGGCCAGCATATCTGCATGGTTCAGATGCCTACAGGGACTGTGGATGTTCAGGTTGTCTTTGATGTGAATTAAAATGTTCTTGAGTAGCCTGATCTAGTTGAGAGGCATCCCTGCCCGTGACAGGGAGGTTGGACTAGATGATCTCTAAGGTCCCTTCCAGCCTAGGCCATTCTGTGATTCTATGTAAAAAGAGTCACTGGCAGGCACTCTCCATGTCACCAATCACCTCCTATAATTCAGTATTTGAAGGGGCTGAAGGACAGCAAAACAGTCTTCCATCCGAAGTTTTTGAACCTATCCAAAAGCTGCCTTATATTTTAAACGAAATGCATTTCCTGTAGGACAGGAAACTTTTTGATTTGTTTCCCTGAATTTTAACCATAAGGAGTGGAAGACTCCTACACCTGGAGTGAGGTGGGATGTTTTGCAAGCAGCGCATCTCAAGTCTCATTAATGGGACTCTTGTGGAATGTTTTCGTACTGTACCTCACAACACAGCCTGAGGATCCCCAGATTTGCTTGCCTAGCCTTTCATAGTCTTCAGGGCATTGGCAGCACATTCGTGTTTATCTAATTGTTGCTATATTAGGGCAAAAGACATTAATGAGATAGAAAAAAGTTACTCACTATGAAATTCAGTGTACATATTGGTGCTTGAAGATATAAATAAATGCCTAAGTATTTTTGTTGCAATGTAAATGAAAATGAGATAACCTATCCTGCTGATTTAATTCCATTCACAGACCACTGATTACACAGTGATGCATGAGAGTATTAACTGTGATGATTTCATAGACTGTAAAATACCCAGATTATCCTTGGAATATGAGGTCAGTGTATGCAACGTGCCAATAGCCTACCATAAAAAAAAAATATATTTTGTTTGGGGTTGCTTATAAGCTTGAGCAAACAGAGCACCTGCACTGTATGTATCTGTATCCCACTGAGTTCATGGGGACTACTTTTCTGCTTACACTTGTGCTTCATTCACTGGTTGTAGATAGCACGTATAGCAACAGGGAAATGTGTTGTCATAGCTTAAAACGGAGATGCTCCTCATTTACTTATTTCCAGCCTTTTTTGCCTTTTTACCTTTTCATTTTCATTGTCTTAAAGTTTATTTCTAAATTATCTCCTGTTAGTCCTTTGTTTGGAGGTAATTTCATCTGCGTCACCCATCGTGACCCAAGAAGCTTTCTGTTCTTTGCTGTTTTTCACTACTTGGTTTTGGTTTGTTTGAGTTAGCAGGTTATTGTGTGGGTTTGATTGAGATTGCTATTTAAAGAGATGGGAAAATGTGGTTAAGAGACTCCAGCCTGTGGCACAGCTTTGCCTTAGGAGACTCAACTAAAACACCGGCTGCTAGTGATGCACAGCACCGTGTTTTGCTGAGTCGTAACACGCAAAGGTGATTGTCCTTGGGGCAAGCGACAGCTCAGTGCGGCTGTACGGATTTTAGCTGAACCAGCAGCTGCTGAAATAAAAGCTATGCTCAATGCCTCTTGCATGACAGCATGACTGAATGAAATTTTTGAATGCTCCAATGAAGTATTAATGGGCAGGCATGACACCGGCAACACTGTAAAAGACAGAGCTGTTGCCACCAACACTTTACTCTGTGTGTTATGTACATGTTAGTGTAGGAAGCCAATGTATTTGTGAGTTGCATTTACAGTTTGATTCCACAAGAGAGGAGAAATAAATGGGTGGCAATACATAGATATAAGGAGGGATGGTTTCTACATAAATAGAAATGGTCTCAGCACTTAAAATTTTAAGTGGGATTTTTTTTTAATATGAGAAATGAAGACATGAATAGAAGGCGGTATATGAATTTCATGTAGAAGACAGGTCAAAACAATTCTAACTCACACAGGCCCATTGAATCTGCTCATACAAAAATAGGTGGTGTGACAAAGAGCAGGTTTTCCTTTCAAAATGGAAAAAATCTTAAAACCAAAATGAGTAAGTTTCTATAGCTTGGAATGAAGAGACCTACAGAAGGCATCTCAGGCATTTGTGTAAACACCAGAAGTGGGACATTAGTACCAAATTGGAGAGTTGAGTAGGGACTGACACAGTAAGATCAGCTGTTATGAGCTGCTTTTTAAGTGCGGTTGGAAGAGATAATACTTGTGTCAAGGGGCCATGGATCGTATTATGGTAACGAGGGGATGCTTGAGAGCTAGAGGTTGGACTCAATGATCTTGAAGGTCTCTTCCAACTGAAACTGTTCTATGTTTCTATGATTCTATGATACGGTCAAACTATGCACTGGTTTCCACAAAGTTAGGAATGATGGATTTACAGGCTCTTTCAAGCACATAAATGGAATGGAATGGTTACAATGTCATTATTTTCTTCATTACTGTCACGGACTTGGAAAATTAGTGCAGAGCACACCCATTGCTTCTTATCCACTAATGATGGTTCAGAAAAGCAGGAAGCTCATGGGGCTTGAGAAGGTCTGGGTCTTCTGGTTATGTAGCTGGGCTGTATACAAATGTGATTTTGGACCTGTCCCTCTCCACTGTTTTCTACCAGCTGATAGTCATGCAGAATGCAATATTCAACAGATTGGTTATAAGGTCTTTAGACTTTAGGTGCTATGCAGCTATAAGCATAGCACAAGCAATACGATAAAAAAGGTTGAAAAACATCCTGGTGAAAAGATTAAATAATTTTTCATTATTTCAAAGATTTTTTTTTTTGGTTCAGAAGAATAGCCCAGTGTGACAGGATTAAAAATCAAGCCTCTCCCCAGGGGATTTTTGAGTGTGAGATCTGTGTTAGAACAGCTTTAATTTTGTGCAAGTACGCATGCTTTCTGCTAGAGTTTGAGAACTTTTAGAGCTTGAGAAAGGATGTAACTGTCTGAAATCCTTCCTCATTTCTGATTAGACCTGGAGCACTGTAGAGCTTGATCCTGTAGAGCCAGTTCATAAGAAACTGCAGCCTCGACGAAGTCATTCTTTCTCAACAAGTCTGAGACAGGAGAAGAGAGACCTACTCCCAAAGACCTGCAGCCGTGATCCACCAACTGCAGAAAAGGTCAGAAAAAAATCTCTGTAGGGACTCTCCATTTTAAAGTTAATCTTGTTACAGTACATAATCTTTGGAATAATAATTCAGCCCTTATACCCACCTGTTTCATCTGTAGGCTTTATTTATATTACTTTCAATGTCCTCTTCATATTTGCTGTTATTTTTTTGTGACTAATGAGAATGACAATAATGCCTTATTAACATTTTTTTACTAATATGTTGCCTTTTTTTGGAAAGCCAACATTAGCTCATTGCTCTAAAGCTGCATTAAAGCACAGTCAATAGCATCAAATGTAAGAAGGTGCCTTCTTTGCCTCTTTGCCTGTTTATCTACCTCAGCTCTGGTTCCTCCCATCCTGACCCTTGTGTTCTATATTGTGTCAGCCTCCTTTTATCACAAAGTCAGGGCTACAAAACAGAGTTTGACATGATAGAAGCCACCCTTTTTCTGCTTTTCAGTGTATGTTAAAATGTTTTATTTTTGTTGAGGAGGAAGACAAGAAAGAAACTCCCATTTCACCCTAAGGGTGGGAGAGTCTGGCAGCTGCCACCCTTCCCTCACTGAAAGAGGAGACGGTGAGTACTCAGCGCATCTTCTGTGGATGCATCATGCTCCTTGCCAAACCGCTGAGGTTTGGCATCATGCTAGTGAGGACCACCCTGTTCCTTGAGGAACTGCTGGGGATGGGAGCAGTAAGTCACCCAGGAGTCAGTTTCTGCCAGAATTGTAGTACTGGTTTCAAGATGAATATTTGTACAAGTGACACAATGTCAAGCAGATATCAGTGCTGCATTTTCAAGAAAAGACAGACATAGGCTTGCAATCCCCTGTCTGTGGCTGGACCGAGTAGCACCCACTTTTTGATTGAGGCACTTTTTTATGAGGTTACTGTACCGTGTGTAACCCAACACCTGCACCTTCGGCAGCTACAGCATCTGCCTCTTTTCCCATGTGTTCCTTTCCAGCTCTGAGGCTAATTGTCTAGAGAGAGCGTAGTTTAAAACAAGAGCTGTTCTGGAAATTTCCAGCCATCCAATTACCCAGTTCCTGCATGCGTCTACCCTGTCTTCTTTCATGTGTCTCCTTAAGATCAAGTCCTGAGAAACTTTGGTCATTTCCTGTAAGTGTTGGGGATAGTATTAATGGAAAAACAGTGGCTTCAGATGTAGTGGTAGGCAACATGGACTCAAATCTACTACCAGCCTCCACTGCCCTCCGTCACTAGCACAGACCGTCCAAGGTTGTAGGCAAGTGGCAAAGACAAGAGTTTGCCTCCAGGTTCTGGAGAAACACCAGCTTTTTGTCTCATAAAGGAGGAAAACAAAATAAATCTAAGGTGGTCTGCCTAAAGGTGTTCAATAATTAAATATTCCTGGAATTTAGCAACTGTGTAGCCCACAAGAAGGCTGAGATGCGATAATTTTTCTTTGAAAGACATCTCTTGTGCTATTTTGATAAATAACCTTGAACGGAGCAGCTTCAAGTTGAGGCTTTTGGTGGTATTCGCTGAGATATGTGTTCATTTACATTGAATGGTCAAAGCCTCATTTGCTTAATATTTTCAGCAAAGATGCCTGTGTGGTGGGAAGGTCCTTTCTCTGTTTGCTGAATGCAATGTATCAATATTCATTCAATCAGAATAAATATTTATGTGTCAAGCTCAGTTAGAATGTTCAACTATGAGGACACCAATTTATCCTTAAAAAAAATACAACTAATCCTACAGAAACACTACTACATTTTTAGATATTTTTTTTAAGGTTTTAATAGCATTACTGGATTGTCTATGACTGAATTCCAGTTACAGCACTTCCAGAAATTCTCAGTTATGAAAATGCAAGTGTGAATTTGATGAATAATTATCTAGCTTTTTAACTAAATAAATTTTTTAAAAAAGAATCTTAGACTTCCTTTGTTTTCTTTAAGAAGACCATCTCAACAACATCTAAAATATTTGCCTACCTCTGAATTATTTTCACTAACTGAGATCAAGACTCTTTAATGGACAGTTGCAAATGGGTTGTCAAAAAAGAAAAAGTATTCCTCAGGTGAAAATAAAAAAGCTGAATCAGTGGTTTCCAGAGCATAAAAACTCATGCTAATGTTTTCTGTGCTGCCACAAAGGCGTGATCCAACCCCGTGACTTACTACGGTCAGTTAGGATGGGAACAGACTTGATGTAGAATGACACCTGTAAACCTGGCATGGCAGCGAAGGTTTTCAGAAACATTAAAATGCAGGCAAATGTTACGAGGTTTGGGTACTTGGTTTCAAAGGAGAGTTGCCAAGTGTGCTCTGTGCATCCAGGTTTTATGCCAAGGGAATTACTCGTCTTGAAAGCTATTTAAAAAAGCCTTGGAAGTGTTATCTTGTCCACTAAGCCGTATCCATCCTTCTGCTGCAATGAAAACAGCACTTGAAGCAGGGAGGAGTGGGTTTGAGTTTGGATTTTTTTGATTCTATCGTTACCTTTAATCTGGAAGAATGGAATTTTCTTTTCCGTCTGGTTGATTTAAACCACTTCTTTTAGCACATTGTGCTTACCCCTACTTGGGTAGGTAAGTACAGTGGCTGGAGAAATCATTATCCATAGGAATTGGTGAATGCTTCCACAATGCTTCAGTATCTAATTTTAAACTCGTACTGATAGAGGGAGAGAGAGTGATGCTAGATAGTGGGTTTGTTGGGTTTTTTTTGTTGTTTTTTTTTAAAGCAATGAAATTTGTGTGGAAAACAAATGTGTTTGGGTTTCGGTGTGTAAAATTAGACTAGACTTTTGCTATACAGTAAAATATTATGCCAAACTACTAGCTAAGACTGAGATGATGACTCCTAAATCTTAAGATTAACTGATCTTAACTAACTTAATTCTTAACTAGACCAGGAGTATCTGCAATAGAGAAGTCTGCAATTAAGATGTGTTAAAAAGAGAAATATTTTTTTTAACCCGAAAGTCAGGCAAGTGTAAGAACGGGCACTTTTTTTTAATTCCTTTTTTTCTTTTGTGTCTCTGCTGATATTTGAGCATGTCTTCTTTTGCTTCATTTAGTATCCCGGTTTCTAAGCTGAAGATGTTAACACATCATGATTTTCCCTCTTTCTAGTCAACGATTCAAGTGTTTGGAAAATATGACTGGTGGCTCGCACAGTGACTAGTGGCAATGAGTATTTCAGCTACTAGTTTCCATAGTCGTATGCTGTATGACAACACTAAAGTTTATGTCTCCACTCCAGGTTTCAATCTCCTCCAGCTGTTTGGAGAAGGTGCTTGGGCAGCCAGTCCTACGCAGTCCCCCTGCAAGGCTCGTGACCAGCTCCTTAAAAGCAGCCTCTTTGCCTGTTGGTTTGAATAGCAGCAGCATCAGCAGAGGAGGAGACTCAGGTACTTCACAGTTGGCAAGCCAAGAAAGTCAAATTAATGGAGTCCTGGACTCTATCATTAGCAGCACGGTCCCTCGCATCATCATCATTCCTACCTCAGAGACCAACCTATTTCAAGAGGAACTGGGACAGGAAGAGCCAGAATTATTCCACTTTCATGACAAAAAGGGCAATCTGCTGGACTTGGAAGGGCTTAGCTCATCCATAGAGTTCCTTGAAGCGGTTGAGAAATTTCTGTCCTAAATTTGTCAAAAGAAAACTTTCCAGTAATTATTTTCTTGGCATCTTCTCTACTCAATTATACCAAATAACCAAAGCCTCATAGGTTAGATCATCAGACTTTTTGTATGTTTATACGGTAGTCACTAGGCAGCCTTTGGATTTATCTTTGTCCAGCCCAGCTCAAGCATGGAAACAGGCTTTCTTTCAGATTGTTCTGCAGGAAATGAGCAGTGGAAGATCTGGCAGCAAGATCAAGTGACATCCATCAAGTCGGCCACCTGCTTCATGGGGCCCTGATTCATAACCGCAGGTGGAGGTGCCAGCAGAAGAAAAAAATGACTGAATGAGAGCAGGGGCAGTTGCTCAGTGTTTCTGCTACCTGCGCATGAAACAACACTCCTGCTTTGGCAGCTCTCTTCCAGACGGTGGTGGGAAGTGCCATGAGAACACGGCTTCCACCAGTCCCAGTGGTAATGCAAATGGCGAGATGATCTGATCTGCCTTTTAATCAAATTCTTTTCAGCATTAGTTTTTGGGTGGTTTTGGTTTTTTTTGTTTTTTGTTTGTTTTTAAATAGGCAGCTTGCTAAGCAGAAATAAACATACTGATGGTGTAACTGGGAAGTGACTGCTTGCTTTTAGAGTTTAGTGCTAGGAATTTGAATTTTACCTTAGTATTAGTATGATCACCTGAATGTAGAAATGCAAGGTGCTATATGCTAAAAGATACACTACTACCTGTAGAAGCATTTAGAGCACTTCAGAATTACAGTCTGGACTAAATATGTATGGATTCTAATGAGTCTGTGATTAAAAGGGTGAACATTCACAGCTGGCTTGACAAGACATCAATAAAAATAAAGCCTTGGCTGCTATGTCTCACTTGCCTCTTCAGAGGCGATTCTTCTCCTTTCCTCCTCCAAAAGGACTCAGCAGATGTCTTTTCCTACAGGTCGCTTAGCAGAGGTCACTTACCAGAGCGGGTAAAACATCATGTCGGGGAGAAAACTCCATGGTAATGTGGTGTTTGCTACAGAATCTCCAGTCACATTTTTGTCTGTGGTAACTGATTTTACTTATTTTATCTGTGCTTCACATTATTGTTCAGGCTCACAAGAACCTCCTAGCATTTCATTCTTAAATGCATTCTTCCTTGTGTTACTCCTTTTCCCTTTTATAATGTGTTCTCTACCTTTCAGTCTCTGACTTTGAAATGTAGACAAGTAGAACTATATAGTTCTCCACATAATATCAGTATATCTTACTACAAAGCAGGCATTTTTTGGCTATAATACTGCAAATATTTGGTCCAGTGAGACTAATAGCATTCAGGCATCCAACAAGAGAGTGAGAGTTTATGTTCATAGTCTTGGTTTATTCCCTTGACTTTATTCTAGATTGTGCAGAGACCACTGAGAGTATTTCCAAGTTTTGTGTATGCACTGGCTGGCCTCAAGAAGTAATTTATCTTTTCCTGTTCTGCTGATGCAAAAAAAAGATGGAAAGATAGAAAGCATGGAAATATTTTTTATTATTATGTTTTTATTACAAAAAAAATATAACATGAATATTGTTTGCAAGTAGCTAGACAGAAACACCACTGAAGATCAAACTAAACCCCAAAGCAGCCAGGGAGAGTGAGGAACACCTCCAAATTTGCCAGGGTTTTGCCAGGTGTCAGCACAGCAGACCTTTGAGAGGACTCAGACGTGAGACACTTGTTATTAGTATACGCGGTGCTCCCTTTAGGGAAAAAACCCACATTGGTGGGTTACAGAAGTGATTGCTGAGACACGTTGCCTCTTGCAATATTAACGCTCTTAATGCTATTATTATCTGTGGTACTCTGCTTCCTAGAGACCCTCATCAGAAACAAGGCCAACATAGCTCCTTACCTTCTAGAGAAGAGGGGAAAAGGGTGGTGGAGCCCCATCATGCATGTAGTTGTCTATGTGCAGCCCTGATGCACGGTGCCGGGGGCCAGGCCTGAGCCAGGGCAGCACCACGACATGGTACCCACTGCCAAAGTCTGTGCCCACCGGGTGCTGGCTTTTCTACCGGGGTCAGGAATTGTGCCAAGCTTGCCTGCAATCAGATCAGAGTTTTACAAAGGCGATTCCCCCATTCTGAGGACTGGTGCAGTGAGCAGGCAGCTGCTGGGGATGGGGACGTGCTCACCTGCAGCTCCTCAGTGCCAGGCTTTCACCCAGGGCATGGTTTTGGCCACAGTGAGTAATCAAATGTTGATTAAATACAGCATTCATGGAAAATGGAGGAGACATAATGCTAGGCAAAACATCCCGTCCTGGCATCCCTGATCTTTTCATTTTTTGGCTGAACCTGTTCTCTCCAATATCAGCTGTGCAGTCAGTGACCTTACTTTTTCTTGCATTTAATATCCTCAGCCGCTGTATCTCCTTTCTTCTTGAGCCAGATGTTGAGAAGCAAGGGCTCTTATAAGGCTTCCAAGTCTTATGCCTGACTTTTATTGTTGTAATTACTCTATATAACAATAAGAAAATATATTTGGTGTTCCAAGATATAAAAATATACCCTGGAGCAGATTTTGCACTCAGATGTTGACAGACATGTACTGGTAAGACTGTAAGCAGGATATTCCCATAGTTTCCAATGGGGTGAAGAAAGTAAGATCTAAAGTAACAGTCAAGTAACTCCTCTGTATCCGAAGTTTTGCATTCTACTTGTTAGCCTACAAAATTACTTTCCGGCGATCTCTTGCATATGTACTCGTACTAATAAAGTCTCTCAGAAAACTAGTGGGCCTGAGGTATGTGCAAAGAAGTGTTTCACTTTTATACTGTTAATGTCATGTATTATTAGCACCATTGCTTCTGAGGCTGATGTCAAGATTACTGTTTACTTCAACTGATGTAGGCTAGAATGCCAAATGAGCAGTAGAGAGATAAAACAAAGTTGTATGAAATATCAGATAGACTTAATACATTCACTGTGAGATTTTTGTAGAAACAGCAGTCACAAAGTAAATGAGTCTTAAACTGACTACCACAATGCAGAAAAATATTGTGAACTTCTCTGTTGCCACATTAGAATAGATGGCACGTAAAAATGTACAATATTCATTGTTACTTCCCATTTCACAATGGAATGTATTGGTTCACTCAAATGGAATAAAAAATTCTTAGGAGTTGAACTAAGCTATCCTTTGTTTGTTCTTATTTAATCGTTAATTTTGGGAGCCAGGAGGAGGAAGGAAAAAAGTCAAAGGTTTTGACACCTGTACTCTGATCCAGTGAATAGTAAGTGTATAGGCTGCAACAGGCAGGACACAGGAACAACCATAAACCACGTCTGAAATGCAAAGAGTAAATTTATTCTCACTACCTGAGAATCTGGAGACTCTTTGCAGCAGCACCCAGGCGGTGACCACACAAGCAGCAGCAAGCAAGGAGATGTCTCCTTGCTGGAAACTGTGGGGTATTTATCGCGCTGCTTTGTTACGTTTAACGTGGTGCTCTGCCTGAGTTACCAGGACTCACAGGACAGCTTTGCCTTGCTCCTTCCGGCGGCAGGGCAGGTGTGCGAGAGATGACCCCGCACTTACCACAGGCTTCTCTTATCTTAAATATGGGTGTCGAGCACAGAAGGCCAAGCAGTAATCTAGTGTGATGTTTGTGTTTTCTGTCACCTCAGCTGCAAGCTTCTTGAGCGTACCTACAATCCTCCTTGCCAATCTTCCCTTATGTTCCCACAGGAAGGTACATGTATGACTTTATTTACATAAGCAGCTGCTTTGAAGTCATTTAGACTGCTCACGTGCAACCAAGCACTGGCCTGCTTCAGTGCAGAGCATCTAAAATTAGAGTTCACGACTTGGTAAAATCTGAAGTTACTCAGCAACTTTCGAAATGCAATGACTTCAACTTGGATGTCATGAATCAGGTGAAGAAAGTTGAGAAAAATTAAGCAAAGTCAGTACATTAGAACTGTGACAGCAATCTTAGTCCTAAACCTGAATGACAGTTAACCAGAAACTGTTTCTGTTAAATCTATGTACAGCACAGTTATAGGATATATTCCAGTTTTCATGAGTAACAGAAAATTCATACCACAAGCACAAACAATTTTATTTACCGTGGTATGAAGCAGGACCTAATACCACTTTCTTCCAGAAAGCTCATTCAGTTCCCAGACATCTATCCATTTCCCTCCTTTTAGGAGACACCTCTGAATAAGAAAACTCTTCTACTCTGCTGTCTGAAAAATATTTGTGCTGTGATCTGCAACACTGGAAGGCAAATACCCTGTTTTTTAATTTCTTTACTCTTTTTTTTAACCACCTCTCTTTTTAACAGCTGGTCTTTACTGATTTCTTGTGTAGGTTATTCTTGATATTTTTTTATTTCACAAATACATGAAAGCCATGAAGGCTAGTTGAGGAGCTGGAAATCTAGGTATATATTATGCACAGTTTTATGTGTGGACTCCTTTCTTGCATAGAAGTAGATCAAAACTGACCATACTGCTTGGGTTCAGCAAGTGCATGTACTAGGTAACTGCAGGATGGAATCAAACAAGGTGGAAGCAGCTGAGATGCAACCATCTCTCCTGGATCCTCTCAGCACAAACCGATGATTTCTTGCTTTGCACCTCATCCATAGCCTCAGTCTATACATCAATGTTCTGTCTGCACCCCCCAAATGGACTAGTGTTTAAGTGGAGATTTTGGTGCTGGAGTGCCTTTGCGGCTCATGTCACGTTTACTTGTGCATTAACACACACTAGTGCTTACTAAGAACTGAGATGTCTGCCCATACATTTTACTTGCTTTATGATGTGTCTGGATTGCACTTGTTAGTGCTACAGGTGGTAGCAGGACATGAAAAGCTAAATGTAAAATGTCAAAGTCAGGTGTAAGTCCATCGTTACTAATTCTCCCCTGTGCCAGCGTGGGGCTATATCTGCATGCCAGCAACCCTGGTGCCAATGCTTCGTGGTAAAATTTCCTGAGCGGAAAATTCTGTATGGGATGCAGTCTTATCC